TATAGTTCTTATCCCACGCGGCTCCCAGTGCGATGTTGGCGAATCGCAAAACGAGGAGATTTTTGACCATTTCCTTGCCCAGATAATGATCGATACGGAACGTCTCGTCCTCGGTCCAGTACTCCTTGAGTGACTTTAATAACTCGGCAGCGCTAGCCGTATCCTTTCCGAACGGCTTCTCGACGATGACGCGGATTGATGCCAGTAGCGACATAGCACTGTTCTCTGAGATTTTTGGCGACGGGGACGAACACGCTGGGAGGAAGGGCAAAGTAGAAGAGGCGGTTAGCCTCCTTGGAGGCGTAGTGGGACTCGATCTCCTCGAGGTGTGCGTTGAGCGCGGCAAAAGCCTCGCCTTCGTCGTAGCTGCCGGAGACATAGGTAGAGATAGACTTGAACTTCTCTATGGCCTGGGTGATCTCGGGGTCGTCGTTCGGGTTCTTGAGGTAGGACGTCGCGCGCTTATGGTACTCGGCCTTGTCCATCTTTGTGCGGGCATAGCCGACGATCTTGACATCGCGGGGGAGGAAGCCCTGGCGGAACAGACCAAAGAGGGCAGGGAAGGTCTGTAGATGTGGAGTGAGCCGCCTGACGCGAGACCGCCGAGCTGAGCGCTTCGACGCACCTTCTTCTTGGCAAGATCACCCGATGCGCCGAGGACTGCGATGGTCGTCGGGGTGAATGACAAGCGATAAAGATAGGCCGTTGCACTGACCGACGATGATGGTGTTGTCCTTGAGGGCATCGTGACTTGATTCCATCGAAGGGATGGAGCCGGACATGGTGGGCGTGGGGTGGTGTGGAGGATGAGGTGAAGATGGTGGTAGAGGAAAGAAAGAGATGTTACCAAGATGTTACTTCGGAAATGCGTAATAAGTTGCTGAGCGAGCTTAATACCGGCCCGGTCTCGGGAGTGACAGTCACTCTCGGCCATGCCGCCCACAACCGGGCTGCCTGAAGAGCCATATGTCGCGGTCATCGACAACCTCAGGGAGCTCGTTGACCCACAAAATCTGTCAAAGGACTCGGCCGCAATCCATATACGCGCTGCTGCGCTCACCGGTCGTCTTAAATCTCTCGCACGCGCCGCAAACACCGCAACCCGCCACACAAAAAATCTCACCGCCGCTGCCCGTCATGACATGGACCAGTCATATCTTGGCCTCCAGAACTTGCTCTACGAGAAGCGCCACCTCGAGCGGGAGATAGAAAAGTGTCGCCAATTCGCGTGAGTATACAGGTCGCGTCAAGTCGCGTGTTGTTCACTCGTGTCCAGCTCAGTGTATCAGGACATCCCACTCTATACGCTGGACCAATTTGAGCTGCTTGCACCGCCAGAGGCCCGCTCAGAAGATGTTCTGTCCGACGAGCACCAGCTCCTGCTCAACCGGTTGAGCTTTGAGTTTGTCGAGCGCCAACGGTAGCTTTTCCCTCGACCGCGCATGCGTGGGCTCACACAATCCCAGCCTGGATAAGATGAAGAGGGAACTTATGCAGCAGAAAGAAGAGCTGCTGAAGGAGAGCAAAGCGAAGCTCACCACCATGGACAACATTAAGTCGCAAATCGAAACCCTCGCCAAGGTTCGTACTTCTGATGGAACACCTACCCCATACTCATCCTGCGACTAGGTGGCTGCCGAGGTGCAAAAGAAAGTTGATGAGCTTGCTTTACCAATACCTGCTGTAGATACAAACGCGCCAGGCTGAATAAACACACCATTCTAAACCATTAATATTACAAATTGTATTGAACTACACAACATCCGCGGGGAGAATGCAAAAGAGTACAGAGAGAGATGAGATATAGATATATGGGGGATGGACAATGAAATGCGACTTGGAAACGAAATGCAGAAGAATCAGGCTTACTCGCCCTCGCTCATGCTACCAATGTCACTCATCTCCTCATCTGCATCGTCGTCATCTTCGCCGTCTGCAGCAGCATCCGCGGCCTCCTTGGTTGCGAACCGCTGGACATATTCTGGAGCACACGAGCATTAGTTGACGCAGCAGATTGCGCAAGTTAATCACACACCCTTCACTTTCGCGTCGTACTCCTTCGGGTGGCGCATTAAGAGCGCCGCGGCCTCCCCATTTAACGGGTCGTTGGGGTTCGGGTACCGCAGCAGCTGAGGGAGAAACACCTCGAATATATTAATCATATCTGCGCCAGTCAGCACAGGAGCAAGGGGCGAGCGAGCGAACGGTGCAGACCGAACATGGGCGACCAGGTCTGGTTGATAACGTCGAGACACACGGACCCGCTTCTGTCCCGCGGGGATGAGTAAGTACAATCCACCCAAGAGCACCGCACGTACAGCTCGTCGATATTCGGGTGGAATATCTTGTTCATGAAGCCTATGCTGGGAGACTTGAAAGGGTACTGGTCGGGGAGCTCGACGTGGATCTTCCAGACGCCGCCAGCGAAGGGAGCTTGACGCCAGGGAATGTGAACGGTGGCGCAGGTCGCGAGGAGAACGCTTACTTTCGGCCGGACCGTGGAATCGGACATAGAACTCCTGCATGCTGTCGTTGACGAGGGAGACCTCGTAGTCGGACATTAGCCTGATCAAGTACGTCGTTAGTGGACAGCAACCAATGCAGTAACGTTGAGTAGCACATCTTCATTACATCGGTCTCGATGCGGCGCTTGCTGGGGGAGGCGTATAACACGCAGGGTTAGCTGGGGGCGGGTGGACGACGAGGGGGACACTCATCATAAGGGCGGAACACGAAGAGAGTGGGAGGAAGGTGTCAGAGTCTAAGCGAACGTAGCAGCCGGGATTTACCGCGCTGTACCATGTCGTCGAATCTTTCTACATACAGCATACAGCATAATCGATTCAAAAGAACGTGTATTCTTCGACGATACAGTACGCGTCGTCAATGGCGCAGGGGTACGGCCGCACTCCCTGACCCTGACCAGCAATCCCCTCCATCCGTCTCGTTCTTACATCGACCACCGGCATTGTCGCATCGTCCGCTCCTCCGCCGGCGGCCAACCACGAATTGGCTCCTTGTCCTTGTGCCCTCAGCGAATGCCACCCCAGAAGCACACCTTGAGTCTCTGTCAACACGGCTCTCGAAAGTATATCGGACGCCGCACTCATCCAGAAGAGGCCGAAGCAGAATATCAGCACCATCTCTTCTTGGGTCTGCGTCAACTAAGTGCCCTTCCCGTCGATGGTGCATCGTGATTCTGTGTTCGGGCATCACATCCTGGCACATCTACGGCCTTGGTGGACGTACAGAAATATGAGCCCGCTCACGGCCAAAATGGCTACCGAGGTCTGCGTCAAGTGAAACACATCTAAATAGCCCAGCGCTCGGAGGTTGGACTTCAGTAGTGCAGCGGGAACATACGGAAATGCGAAACGAGAAGCGAGACGACGTGTGCAATGAAGAGTACCACTACCACTGAAAGGTCTGCTTAACGTGCTGCGTTCCAGCTGAGAGGACACTCGCCTGACTACAGTAGCGCGGACGGGTCTGTCTTGAAATAGTGCCATGGGGGGTGCGATAAGTATTTCGATTGCACACAGGTTAAATAATACAGCAGCACGAGGCAACCACGCCGGATACATGAGTTAGATTGGGTGCAAGACAAGATTTAGCTAACGGGATACATCTATATCGTTCTTTCATTTTGTTAAATTCTCTGGACGGTTTGGACTAGACGGTTTGAGTAACTAGCGGCGAACATTAATTTTAGGGATCTGCGAATTCTTTCACAAGACTCACCCGTCGGCCCACCCGGGCCCTGGTGGATCTGGTACACGGCAGGCATCTGATACCCATATTGCTGCTGCGGGTACATGACCGCGGGATACTGCACCATGCCTTGCTGGTGGTTGTTGTAGTACCCAGGCATCTCATGGAACCAGCCCAGTTCTGCGGGATAGATAAGTTGGGTCAACGAGCATTCTAAAATAAATAAATCGCATACCTTGGATGGGCTCACGCCAAATGTGCGGCCGACCAAACCTCTGCGCTTGGTTGACCAAGGCAATAAGAATGGTCAAGGCAAACGAAAAGAGAACGAAGAGCATCCAAGAAAATGCCTGGATGACCTTCATTTCGTAGCAATATTCTTTTTGGCGTACTAGGCGGGATCAGCGTCTATCGAGGCGCTTGCATAGAATAGGCACAGCGTACTTTCTCCATTTTTGGTGGGCATGGTCTCCGAGGTGAGAGCATCGCACTGTGTAGAGCCTATGATATCGCTGTGGGTCTGTCAGCTGGTAATACGAGTTAGAGAGAGCATGCCTCACGTTGCCCATGCTGCCATTGCTTGAGGAGGAGCGTTGGCGAAATTAGAATATATCGAAAGAACGAGCGCTTACCCAACCACAGGGTCCATAGGATGAACAGAGACACGGCTTCAGTGCGAGGCTGAGCGAATTGTAATCTGAACATAACTGAGTCGAGGACCACCATTCAAGACAGCAAGCGCACGAAAGCAAAAATACGAAAATGGTGAGAGCAGGGATCAAGAGCGCGAAAATGGTAAAGTCGGCTGGCGTTTCCTCAACTCAGTGACGCGCGGCGGATTGAACCAACACTTACGGTGCAAATGAGGCAGGAATATATTCGCGAAATGGGCGGCTAGACCGAGCACGGTTCCTGGAATGCATGTGAGCTGTGCAGACAGAAATGGGCAGGATCCGAACCTGATAGCAGGAATACGGCCACTGCGCGGCGCGTTAGAGCGATAATCCATGAGAAATGTGAGGCTTAACCATAGAATCCGATTCGATACCTTCGACCATTCAACACCATTCAACGTCGAAATTGTCAAAAAATCGATACTTACGATGCGAAGCGTACAGTCATGAGTATGTCGTCGATTCGTCGTTAGAGAAATGAGCTTTGTTCAAGTCAACCACGTTGCGCGAAGCTGTGGACTGCTAAGAGCAAGGCGCCTAGGTCCGGTTCGGGACGCGAACCCGAACATGGGACACGTGATGCTGTTGCGGCAAAAGAGAAAAAGCAAAAAGAAACTCTCGACCTGGGAGTCGAACCCAGCTTTCGCGCGAAAGCTCATGCTATTACGAATTATGACAGGCGCGTGTACTAAACCGATATACTAGTCGAGACATGTCGGCCGCTTCCATGAGCATAACTCAGCTTAGTGATTTTGGGCACACCCTCAGTCAACTACTCAGTGAAAAATGCATCATATCATTGGGGTTTCAAGTCATATACATGTATGTTTTAAAAAGTGACTTGAGCTTCTTCGAGTTGCTCATCCGCCGCGCAAGCGCAACCCACGACCCCACCGTCATGTCCTCCAGCTCGTATGGTGTCTGCTTATTCTTCAGATGTGAAGGCAGATTCCGCGGGGGTACAGGGTAGAATCCGTCGGGGCCGGCGAGCAGATCCGCTCCGTATGTGACATACTCCAGCTTGAAGCTTGGCGTATGGGTCTTGTTCGCCCTCTCAAGATGTGGAATGTAGTACTGCCGCACATTCAGCAGAAGCACATCAAGGCCCTAGAATAGATCACATACCTGCGCATACCCCAGAGGCGTCCACAGTTGGTTGCTTCTCGATGGCGCGTGTGGGTCAGAGTGCCACGTCTCATTGAGCTGACATGTCCACGTCTCGCGGTACTTGTCCGACTTGCACAGTTTTTGTTTGTCCTTGCTGTTTCCTCCATGACGATGTCCGTGCTTGCGGCCCTTGAGACTGTTGACCGTTCCGGTGACATTGTACGAGAACATGCGGAAGCTTGGAAGGTAGGGGTTCGGAACTACGGACGGCGATACATTGATGACCGCATAATCGTTCAAGCTAATTTCCTTCGCTTTCGGCATGGCCGCAAAGTCAGCGAGGATTGTTTCGAACAGGTCGTCGTTGTTTTGGTCCCTGGCTGACTCGACGATCTCGAGGTCACCCGCTTCGAGGAAGAAGAACTTGAGGGGAAATAAGTCAACGAAAGATTTTTAGCGGGGAGGAATAGCGAACATGATCTGCATTCATGTGCTTGAAACAAAATGTCAACACGGCATCCATCTGGCTCATCGAAAACCGCTTACCCCAAAGAGATGACCCACAATCGTGTCCTGAAATCTCAGGGCCAGTTCGACATACCGAACATACTGCAGACAAGAGCTTTCAAGCTTTCTCCGAATGAAGTAATCAAAAATACATACGCATTCAGGGAAATAATTCCCTGGGGATGGCGGGACGTGCCCTGGTCGTCCAATTAAATCACAACCCAAACTTGACATTTAATACGCACCTGATAGCCACACCTGCAACAGCAATGAGAGGGGACGCAAATCCAAAAATCAGTTCGGCGTACCTGCATCCCCCGGGCTCTAAAGCCCTTTAATTGCACCTCGAGCCAATCGAACTCGAGGTTCCCTGCGTCGTCACGGATCCTTGAACGCACAGCCCCCGACCGCTATCGCAATTTTCTCAGCACAAATTGTGAGGAATACACTTAACGCAATCATACCTTTGTTAGAGTCATAAAAATACATCGTGTTGAGACTGATAACAGCTACCGAGTCCGGAATAACTTCCACGGCATAATACGCGCCACGCTGGAAGATTTGAAGATAGGGGAAGGGAATGAAGGCTTTCCAGATGCTGGCGAATGACAGTTAGCTCCTGGGAAAGCGCTCTATCCCCGACCTACGAAGCGAATTCACTCGTGATACTGTTAGGACCTGGTATCATGATGTTCTGTAGGCAGGGACGTGAGTACAAATCGTTAGTGAAGGAAACCGTGTCTCACGTGTGCTGTGGAATGTCAGGGATTTTAAATAATTCTAGGTAACAAGACACTCACGCCAGACATCGTTGTTTCCTGGAGAAGAGGTCGTCAAAGATGTGCCCTGGCGCGAGAAAACAGGATGCTAACCGAGACTAGGAATAACAGGGATCCCGCGACTAGTAAACGCCGAATTCATCCTGGCGGCCACCGCTCGATTCAGATCATAGATCTCAGTTGGCGTTCGAGGAAGCTTTCGGTCGTTGTCATGTCTGTCTGGCGTTGAGGCTGACCGCGCCAGAAACCCTACGGCCGAACGTACCTCGCATTATCGCCGGTCCCTGCGGCGGTAGAGGTCAAGCGCGCGGGAGTTGAGAGGAGTGCGTGCATACAGATAACAAAGTCAATTCAGACGCCCACTGCGAGCCCAGTCAGAATCTTTCTGGAACCGAGAAGAGGGCAGCTACTTTTTTCTCGATAAAGTCGAGCGTAAAGTTCGTTAGCCGGAACGGCGAGTCACAGTCTCTGCTCGACATTGCAGTTCACATAGCAGGCCAAAGCCGAGCGAACGCACGAGTACGGCTGTCCATAATAGCCCGCAATATTATTCTTCTTCTTGCCTTTCTTTCGATGGCACGAGGTCTTCTCCGCTGTCTTTTGCTGGTAGAATGGATCAGGGTGCATGTCTGTGATCTTGAAGGGACTATCAGGACTGTTGAAGCACTCCGAGACGCGGTGGCTAAGTACGTGTAGAAATCGGCCATGGAGCTTTCGGGGCTCTTTTCAAGTTAGGACCAATCGGAGGCGTTAAATGGTAAAGCAGCGCACTTGCAAGGGCAGGGACTTCATATGGAACCTGTTGAGGTGCTGCATAGACGTCGAGCAAGCCCGAGCAAAGGAGAATGAGAGAACTCAGTATCATGGTGCAAGGCAATCATGTCATTGGCCAAGGGACACCGATATAGCAATTTGGCGTCTATATTTGGATAACGCCTTCAAAAAACATGTACAACAGCTAAGTATTCTAACTAGACGCGATTTAAACTACTATGATGCTACAAGATACGGTGGCAGTTACAACAACACAAGACCCAGAAGTGCGAGAAGAATTCGGCGGAAAATAATCAGGTGGTCGTGATGTCTTCGCGTGCGGGCGATTCTGTGGGCTTGTGCAAGGCAAGAAGATATGCAACGTTATCTCCGGTGTTGAGAACTTCCTGTATGGAGATAACCGCGAGATGGCAGACCTTGTAGACGCGTCAAATCGTCGGGGAATCGGTGGTAACAAGCCAAGCTTACCCTCGAATATCCTCCCGCTTCCAGCGTCCCGCGGCTGTGGGAATTGTGTTCACTACGGTGGGGCCGTGGGTGGCGGCGTAATACACGTACCTCTTGGCTATGGCGTTATGGATTGCGTCCGTACTGTAGCGGCGCCTGAGAAAGGATAGATGAATGAAAGTAATGCGGAGTGGCAACTGGGTGACGCACAGTATGCTTTCGAGTTCGCGTCTTGTCTGGGGCAGTATGAAGAGGTGTTCGCCAGACAGGTATCTCTGAAAGAGAACAGTCAGACGGGGTGCGGTGTGGCGCGCCTCATATCACTCTGACCTCGAAGCTGCGATAAGAGGCACAATGAGCCACGATAGTTTCGTCGATGGTGGGCCCAGAAACATCCCAGTCGATGCCGTTTTCGCTAGTGTTGAATGTTGGTTAGAAGACGTAGAGGAAGAGGAGGAACAAGGCGCCGTACGTGGCGTGGAAGTGGGCGCGAGCCTCGCGGGAGTGGGGGGCAAGAAATTTGTCGATACTCATGGGACAGATTTGGGTGGCAAGGTGGTGGGGTAACGAGGATAAGCCGCCGTCTTTATATATGTGCGCGGCTTTCAAATCGGAAAACTTGCATCGCACGTTCGATGTTCGCGAGTCAGAGCGAGATTACGTGGGACTTTGATCCGGTGGGGAGTTGAGCCTTCTTTCTACTTACCATCAGCCGGCATATTAGAGGCCAAGGACTGTCGCTGCATTAGCTAACTTGTTGCCCGCAGCCAAGTTGCCAATATCCCTCTCTAACGCCTCGGGCCAAGCATGTCGGACGAGACTCCACTTCACCGCCCGCAGAACACTGATACATCTGCCACTTTCCGCTTCAGAGATCTCGTCAACGCCAAGTATGGCCTATCCCTCCGCACATATCACGATCTCTGGCTCTGGTCAACGTCCCACGTCTCAGACTTTTGGAGCGGACGCTTGGGATGTCACCAATATCATCGGTGAGAAAGGCACCCGCGTAGTTGACGAGTCGGTCAACATCAGCCGGAAACCCACCGTGGTTCCCTGAAGCTCGTGTAAACTGGGCAGAGAATATGCTCCACTGCCGGTCCACTGAGAAAGTGGCCTTGATTCAAGCGAGTCTGTGAATGAATTTTCCACTGTGGCCACCATCCCTGAAACCTCGTCCCAGCTGAACCTACACCGGTTAACCCCACTCCGGATTTAAGGCAATGCACATATGCAGAATTGTACGACTTGGTTTCTCGGCTCGTCTCGTCTCTCCTCGCAAATGGCCTGAAACCTGGGGATCGTGTCGCGTCTTACTCGTCCAATTGCATCGAGAACGTAGCCCTGTGTCTCGCGACTACCTGCTGTTGGGGGGATCTGGGTCGCTGCTGCTGCTGATTTTGGTCCCGCCGGAGTCCTGGAACGGTCAGTAACTCTTGGCCGCAGTCGCCTCGAGACATAATTCGATTCACGTAGGTTCGAACAAGTGCAACCCAAGTTCATTTTCGCTGTCGACGCGTTAATATACAACGCCAAGGTTCACGACCACCTTGCGAAGCTTACGGCTCTGCTTTCGGGACTTGCCGCCGAGTCTCTTAACCCTGCCAAAGGTTGTCGTCATACATACACTCCTAAATATAGAGGACCGGTCGGCATGGAAGGATGGTTGGGTAAGTTGGGAGGATTTTTTGCTTGAGGGGGACGCCAAGAAGCTTGGACGTGCTCATGGAGAAATTCTCTGGCATCGAGCCTCGTTCAACTGGCCGCTGTGGATACTGGTATGTGATTCTTTGGCCAGATCTCAGACTCTAACATTGCGTTAGTTTTCGTCGGGTTCGACTGGTATGTGATTCTTTCGCCAAATTTAACACTCTAATCTTGCGTTAGGAAGACCAAAGTAAGTTGCCATCAACGAATTTCATCATTCATTTAATCCTCGCAGAGCAATCGTACACCGTGCTGGTGGGATGCTATTACAGGCGAAGAAGGAATTTGTAATTTGCGCCGACCTTAAACCAGAGGATGTATTTTTCTATTATACTACAACGTATGTTTCCGACTCTCTCTCTCTGGAAACTTTACTGACTCTTGTGAAGC